TCCCTAAGAATGCTGTTAGGTTTATTTGCCCAGAACTCTAGCTAACTGCATTTCTGGCTGGGGCTAGGTGCTCCTAGGGCTAAGTATAAGCAGAGGTTTAGAAGCATAAGGCCAGGGAGGATGCCGAGGACTCCATGTTCCATTCTTTCTGGCATCGACATGCTAAGATGGAGCTAGCTAGCTCCTGCTGTAGCCCAGCTGATCTGTTAGAAAGTCACCTTTCTGGCACATGGACATAGAGATGGTACTTCTGTCTCTCTAAGGGACCAATTTATTTGGGAGGGTGGAAGATCCAATCCACTGCCTTTGAATTAGAGCAGATGTGATGGGTGTATTTGTTACCAACCTCCTTCATGAGATCATAGTGCATTTGTGTGGCTGAATGCAAATAAAATGTGACATATAAAATCACAGCAGCTAGGTGGCGCAGCGGATAGAGTCTGGGGTCATGAAGAGTGGGACACAACTGAAAAACAACAGAACAGCTGCTGCTGTAATAGAGTGCTGGGCTTGGCATCAGGAAGGCCTACGTTCAAATCCTCTGACATTTACTAGATGTGTGATCTCTTAACCCCATGTACTTCAAGCACCTCCCCAGGACTTACCTACTAAGCTACAGATTGGCAGAGGAATTTCCACACCAGATGCTCTCTCCAGCTCCAGGGAAGCCAAGAGGCAGAGATGAGGAGGGACAGAACTCCAGGCATTCAGGACAGCTAATGAAAATGCAGTTTGGTTTGGAATGTCTTGTGAGAGAAATATCAGGGAGGCCAGAGCCTCTGGATCTTAGAATAAATGGAGGCAAGTGTGGCTGGGGTTGGGGGAGGGGGGAGTAAGTTGTAAACAGATTAGAGAGGCCAGGTTTGGAAGGGGCTTTGAATGACCAACAGAGGACTTCATATTTGATCCTGAGGTGGTGATAGAGAGGCACTGAAGTTTAATGAATAGATAGGAGGGAGGGGTGTGTGTGTGTGTGTGTGTGTGTGTGTGTGTGTGTGTGTGTGTGTGTGTGTGTGTAAGACAGACAGAGAGAGAGAGAGAGAGAGAGAGAGAGAGAGAGAGAGAGAGAGAGAGAGAGAGAGAGAGAGAAGAGGGAGAGAGAGGAGAAGGAGAGAGACAGAGAGAAGTAGAGAGACAGAGAGAAGTAGAGAGACAGAGAGGAGAGAGAGAGGAAAGGAGAAGAGAGAGAGAGTGAGAGACAGAAAGAGTGAAAGGGAGAGGAGAGGAGAGAGAGAGAGACATATAGACAGATAGACAGACAGACAACTGGTCAAACCTGTACTTTAGGAAGAACAATTTGACCACTGACTAGAGGGATGGGCTAGGTTGAAAGACTTCAGGCAGAGAGACCACCCAGAAGACTGTTGCAACAATCCTGGGGTGAAGCAATGAGAGAGCCTGCACCAGCTCAGCTCTGATGCTTACTACATGTGGCTTTTTTGCCTCATTTTTCTTATTTTAAAAATATGGGATTTGGGCTAGAAGAACCTCTGGTTCTTCCCCACTGTAAACCCTGTGAACTGAGGGCTCAATTAGTCTGTGGCCTTTTTTTTTTAGTGAAACTGGAGGGAAACCTCTCAAAGTCCCTTAATGAAGAGATGATAAATAATTCCTATCATTTGAGAGGGTTCTCCATTAGTGACAGGGTAGGGTGTAGTCACTATTAGTGTGAGTATGGGAAGATGACCTCTGAGGACACTTCCAGCTCTAAATCTTTGACAATATGGTACCTGGTTAGTCAGAGTTTCTAAGTAGGGCAGACCTCACTATTGAGGGGGCTGCTAAGGACACCCCACTAGTGACAGTACCAAGATTCTGCTTAGTGATAGGACACTGGCCTCCCTGTAGGTGAAGTAATCTGAGGGGAGTTTCTGACACTGAGGATGGAAATGTGGTGGATGATAATTTGTGAAAGGTAGGTAGGTACCAAGGATTGCGGTAAATGTAGGGTGAGAATTATTGTCTCTTCCAGGATTTAAGACATCTCTGGAGAGGAGAAGAGACAGCTAGTGACCTTTTTCAATGACAAAGGAAATGACAGATCACACTGAAGAAGAAAAAGACTTTCTCCTTTTAGTAAAGGAAAAAAACCTATACTTAGAAATCAATTTTAAATGAACCATAAATAGAGGCACTCGCCAGCCACAGGGTCCCAGAGATCTTAGTTTCATCACACCCTAAGGGCACATGTTCCCCATGGGAGCACTGCTATCCCAGGAGACACAACCAACATTCCTTCTCCTGCCTCATATTTGCAAAAGCCAGGCTCTCCCCAGTCCTCTCCAACAGAGGCCATACCATTTCCCATTCCCTCCCAACTCACAGGGCAAGGCTAAGAGTGAGAGACATATTTCTAGTTCCACTAGCTTCTACCACTTTTTTCTCAATTACTTTTCATCTTTCAAAGTTCACACAACCTACGCACACCACCCTCTCCCCATCATATCCACTCATCTTTAGGTCAGTTCAATTTTCTCAATGAACCTAGTAGCTGGTTTACACCCTTGTCCCCTACATTATTCTTAGGGACTTCAATGTTCACAATGATCACTCCTCTAAAAACCTACCATCTCAGTTCTTTGACCTCCTCAATTCCCTTCTCCACTCCTGCTTCAGCCACACACATCAGACATGACCATATCTTAAAAATTATGTCACCTCAAAGATCTGGAATTTTGAAATTCTACTTTCTGACCACAACATCTTATCCTTCCACCCTTTCTCACTCTTTCACCAACAATGGGCATACTCTCCAGCTGACTTCTGGGGTTACTTGCCATATCGCTATAGCCCTAATCCATCTCCCTCATTTTGGCTTGACTTGCCTCCAGGTCCAGACTTGACCCCGGGGAATAGCATTAATGTTCATTAACGGCTATCCTAGAATCCCTTTCTCCCCTCTACTTCCCTGCTGTAATCTTTTATTATAACTAACCTGTAAATCATCATCCCAACTTAACCCTCACTTTCCAATTATTCTCCTCTCTCCTGGGAATTTTGAACATCAATGAAGAAAAATCACAAAAATGAGGTGACCTTATCCCCTACAAATTTATGTTTGATGACCTTGGCTAGATCCTCACTGCTATTCAGTAATCATTCTACTTGATCTTATGCTCTTATAGTTTCTGTTCCAAATTTCCTCTCTCCTCTCCTTTCCTGCCCTCCCCTCTCTTCTCTTCTATGCCAGCCCATTGTTTTTCCTCCATTTCACCGAAAAACTTAAAAATAAATATTTACAAGATGCTTTCACTTTCTCACTACTCATGGTCTCCTCTACCCAGGATTATAGAAAAAAAATCTGAGTGTTAGAAGGGACTTCCATACTATCAAGTCCAACATATACACCAGAGGAATCTCTACTCTTAACATATCCAATAAGCAGTCTTGAAGCCTCTTCTTCGAGAACCATCACCTCTTCTTGAGGCAGCCCATTGCCCTTTTGGACAGTTCTGTCATGATCTCACTGAGTCTTCTCCAGCTTAAACATGGCCAGTTCCTTCAACCAACCCTCACAACACAAACTCAAGGGCTTTGAACATTTTGTTGCCTTCTTTTGGCTTTGACTTGCCCCCAGGTCCAGACTTATAACCCCCAGGCTTCAACTTATAACCGGACAGCTAACTCCACTCCTCTACTGAAAATGCTTTCTGTATGGTCACTATTACCCTCCTAATCACCCACTTCAATGGCCATTTCTTCTGCCTCTATCCTCCTCAATCTCTTTCGTTTCTAACACTGTTGACCACTCCTAGTACTAAATACTCCCTAAATAATGCTGCGTCTACATAGAGCAAGATGGTCTAGAAGATTGAAGGGTAGAGGGAAAACAGATGCAGATTTTAAAATTCACTGTAGACAATTCACCAATCAAGGAGCCATCTTGTCAGTTATCAAGAATTCACTGTATCCAACTGTTAGCTATTGTTAGGGCCCTCACGAGCCAATTTACATCTCAGGGCTTCAGTTACCCCATGTGTATAATGAAAAAAAAAAGTTAAGGTATTTTGGGGTCTATATTAGATGGTTAAAAGCCACAACCTAGTGTTGACTGCTGTAAGTTCCTTTCCTTTCCATATTGCCAGTGCCCGAAGACATACTATTTCCAAGATGTACTATTTCTATGAAGTAATTACTCCTAAGTACTAAGGGGGAAGCAGGAGGGGATAGAAAGCCAGCCTCATCAGAATCAGGAAAATCTGGCCAAGTTCGATCTCTTCTACACACTGGCTGTGTGGACTCTGAGCAAGTCAATGAATTTCTTTGTTCTTCAAACAACTCTTAAGACATTAAATTGCAAATTGGTTTCCAATCTGCACTGGTAGAAGGAGTTCCCCTACGTGGAGTTACCTGTATGTGGGAACTCACAGCTCTTAAGACCCTCTCCCCTCCAAAACAGGTAGGATTCCTGTGGTTCAGAGACCTAAACCATCCCTACACCATTTCATTAGTCAGGGACCATGAATTTTAATAAGCTTCATATTTTAATCCAACTAAATTTATTGTTTTTTTCCCTTTCCTTTCCATCACAGTATGATTATTTTGTGAAAGGATACACAGTGAGGTCATGGATCTACACGCACCCTAGAGAGAACACACATTATTATTCACCATACAGCTCTTGAGATGTCTTGCTTCTTTTCAGATAACGCGTGACCTGAGCCCTGGGCTCAGTTCGGCCCTAGATGGACAGGTGGCTGCTTACCGCAGACCACACCGACTGATATTTATCGCCGTCTGTGAGGAGCAGAGTAAATACTTGATTAGCTCCTCAGTATGCTGTTAAGAACCTGCCGCTGTAACTTCGGAGAGGTAAAGATTACAGTTCCCTGCAAGGCCACTGAAATCCACCACTGTACTCTGGCCTAGATTTTATTTTGTCTAGGCAGCATTTTTTTTCCCTACTAGCTGATTCCAAGGCATAATTGTTTTGGCTACACATTCATATGCGTTCAGGAATGGACATTCTTTACACTACTTATTTTCAAGGCCCTACTTACCAACTTCATCCCTGATGTTTGCAAGTTCGATTGACAGCTCTTTTTCTTTCACAAGGGCACTTTCATTCTGAAAAAACAAAATGGATACCAAGTCCCTAGTTTTATCCTAGTTAAGCACTTTCACATGTTTAATTAATGAACCAGATTAAGCAAATATTTACAAGTTTAGCCTTTAAGCAGATCATTTTCTATTACAATATATCTACTATAAAAATAAAACTTACCATGGAAGCCAAGTCTGACTCATTCATTTCTAGCAGATCTAAAATGCAAACTTTGCAATATCATTTATATGCATGGATTGTATTTTTCCATATATAATGTTACTTTGGGTACACTTTCTTACCATAGCTGCGGATATACATGCCTAAGTCACACAAACTGATATGGCTTTGACGTCTACAATTCATATTCTGCTTATGAAACATTATAATTTTTGATGGGCAAAGAGCCCAAGTAGGAAAATACTCTCAACAATATAATTTTTTCCTTATTATGAAAAGCCACCAACCCAGCTGTTAAATAATAGAGATTGGAACATTTTAAAGGAAAAACATAATTTTTTTTATAATAATAAGGTACTAATACTAAAATTTAGTTTCTAGGAATTATGGGATTCTACCATCTGCATCAAAAAAGGAGTTAGAAGGATGAGGCACAAAAAGGAACACATCATTTAGTGTCACTTTTGAATCAGCATTCATTCTGATCTGAAATGGAGGAGAGAGTCCAATTTGTTCAGTTGACTTAGTCACCATCTAATTGTATTTAATTAATTAATATGTGATAAATAACAAGGGGCAGCTAGGTAGCATAGGATAGAGTGCTGTCCTGGAGTCAGGAAGACTCAACTTCCTGAGTTCAAATCCAGCCTTGGACACTTACTGGCTGTGTGACCTTGGGCAAGTTATTCAATAGTTTCCTCAGCTGTAAAATGAGCTGGAGAAATCACTCCACTATCTTTGCTAAGAAAACCCCAAATGAGGTCACAAAGGGTCAGTTGCAACTGAAATGACTGAACAACAACAAAAAATAATAATTTTTTAAATGGTAAAATTGAAAATGCTGGAGGGGAGTATAGTACCCTTTAAGTTATGAAAACCAAGGTCTCAAAGAAAACCCTTGCCTGGCAATTACATTCTGTGGGATTCCCTTCCCCTCCTCCCCTCATCCTCCCCAGCCCAGTAAACTGATTTCCTGAGAGGTATCTAAGGTCAGAATGTGGAACAAAGGAAACAAAAATATCTAACACATCTATCATCAGGAGAAAAAATGCTAGCGAATTTAGAAAAAAAATCTCTCTTAGACTACAATTGACCTTGATTTTATTCCACCTAAAGGATCAGTGCCAATTTCTAACTAGCTTTCCAAATCTTTTTTTTCCTAATGGCTGTTATAGGATAGTCATGTGATTGGGTTCTATATCTCATGATCCAGATGAAAACAGGAAAAAAAAATCACTCAACATCTGGATATTTTGTTTATTTTATTCCAAGTATCCAGATATTTGGTGACATTCTGGCATTTAAAAATAAATTTTAAAAAGCATTTAAAAATCAAGAATGTCACAAAAAGAAGCCATCATCAGAGACATCTACAAGCCTGAAGAGCTGGTGCTGCTTCATTAACTTAGTGGGTGCCATTTTGGTTTCTCTATACTAATCCACGTAAACTGATTTCCAGAGATTCAAGATAATTTAGCAAATGTGATGTTCAAAGTAATGATTAGATTTAAAAAGAAAAAGAAAAGGTAGTCCAACCTCTGGTACTGTAAGATGTAGAATGATGTACCAGATAAAGTTTTGGGCTCTAATGAATAAACAAGGTTCAGATCCCTCCTCTGACATGAGTTCCCCAAGGTTTAAAATCTTAAGCTGCTATATAAATTATGATTGTCACTCAAACACACTAAAACACAATTCTTTCATTCTGCCCTTCCTTGGGTACTGCAACGCACTGTCCATGGTAAGTCATATAATCATAAAATTTTAGAGGCCAAAAGCATCTTAGAGGTCATCTACTCTAATCCTCTCATTTGATAGATGCTGCATTTTGTTGACATAATGTTCTCAGACAATCAATAATGTATTTGTCATATCAAAAATGCTCCCAAACCCACTCTGGATTAAGAATGACATAATAGAGAAGGACTAGGTTTGAGTCCCAGCTCTAAAAAGAAGTTATGTGACTGTGGGACAGTCACTTGACCTCCCTCTGTGCTTTAGTTTTTTGATTAAAATGGGGATAATAATTTATTGTGAGCAAAGTTCTCATGAATAGCAAAGTATTATATAGATGATAACTATGACATTCATACTCAGGTTCCTTTCTTCTCCATAAAGCCCTCCACACTACCCCAGACCAGCCCACAGTAATTTCTCCCTTTTCCTATATTCTTTAGCACCTTTGATCCTTACTATACAATCACATATTTAATTATATATATTTTTTGTATTGTTCTCTTATTTCTCATTTATCAGTTCCTGGTGCCTCCACCCCGACCAACTTATCTTGTATTCAATTTGCATCAATTACACACACACACACACACACACACACATACATATATACATATATATATATAGTATGTATACATATATACTTATACACATACACATGTGTGTATAAATATATATGTGTGTATATGTACACATTTATAGATGCACATGTTGTCTCTTCCAATAGAATGTAAGCTCCCTGAGGACAGAGAATGTCCTATTTTTGTTGTTGCATCCATGGCATCTTGCAGACTGCAAAGCCTAGTTTAATATATGTTTCTTGGTTGAGTGTCTCTCTCTAGCCTAATTATATCTCTGAATTCATGAGCTATGTCTTATAATTCATTAAACAAACATTTTATTCAGCACCTACTGTATGCAAGGCCTTATTCTATGGACCAGAGATATAAAGATGAAAAATGACCCAGTTTGGGTCCTCAGGGAGTTTACGGTCTATGGGGAATAAGACATGTACACAAGTAGGCCTAATAGAAGGTAGACAGTGATGGGGTGAGACTAAGATTGATTAAACTGGAGGGACTGTTTACTTTTAATCAGAGGATTTTTATATAGTTGTGGTTATTAAAATGAGCCCTATTCATCCTGGTACTTAAGTCCTTCCTGGAATTAAATGAGGCACTCTATGAGGTACACTGATTCTTTGGGGTCTACTCTCAAGCTCAGGCTGGATGGCCACTTGTTTAGAACGTGGTGGAGGGCACTCTTGGTCAAGGAGGAGTTGGTAGGACTACTGCTATTCCAATTCTGAAAGTCTCTAATTGATTACATGTATGCCTACTGCTCTGAGGTTTAGGTGTATTCAGAAGCTTCTGCCTAATTAATTAGTGGGAGGCTAATGTAGGCACTGGAGAAAATCTGGTTCATAGAGTCACCGGTATGTAAACCTTTGAAAAGTTTATATTGGCCACCCCAAGTACTGGGTAGACCCCAAGGAGAAGAGAACATGCTTTAGGGTGAAGACCTATAGAAGTGGTCTTCTCAGGCTCAGCTGCTTTCTTCACCCTGTAACCTCCCTCAGTGATTGCCATATCAAAAATGTTCCCCCCCTCCTCCCGAATTCAGGCTCCCTTCTCCCATTGGTGATTTCTTGCCAGGGCCCTCCACTTTGGGGATGGGCCCAGTCCATCCATGCCTCATGGGCTTTCTTTTTGCTTGTATTTGCTTATGTTAGCACAATGCCTGGTATATAGTAAGTACTTAATAAATGCTTATTGCCTGCCTGCCTGTCTATTCATGGTAGTCCATTCTAGTATTTAATAACCTTTAATGTTAGTAAATTCTTCCAGCTGGTGTTGCAGTGGACATAGCATGGCCTCGAGTCAGGAAGATATGAGTCCAAATCTAGATGCAGACACTTACTAGTTGTATGATCCTGGGTAAGTCTGTCTGCCTCAGTTTCCTTAACTGTCAAATGGGGGTAATAATAGCACCTACCTCCCAGGGATGTTGTGAGGATCAAATGAGATGATATTTGTAAAAAGTGCTTAGCACAGTGCCTGACATAGTAGTCACTATGTAAATGTAAAGGACTATACAAATGTCCTTCCTTCCCTTCCAGGTAACCCAAATCCCTTAGATTTCACTTTAATTCCATTTTCCTTCATTCTGTCATCAGTGGATGGAAAACAGGTGGTTACCTTCCTTTATAAAATATCCCTTCTAAAAACAAACAAACAAACAAAAATCACTTCTCTAGATAAAATAACCTAAATTCCACTAGCCCTTGCATATAGGTCTTATAGTCTAACCCAGGGGTGGGAACCCGTGGCCTCAAGGCCACATGTGGCCCTCTACTTTAGGTCCTTGGGCATGGTCTTTTGGCTGAGTCCTTTTATTATCCTTTATATCTTGTGTTTGTGTGTGTGTGTGTGTGTGTGTGTGTGTGTGTGTGTGTGTGTACACACATATATCCTTCATAATCCTTTTATTAAGGGGATTTGTTGTGAAGTTTAGATTCAAAGGGCTGCACTTGAGGACCTAGAGGGCCACACCCTTGGAACCCTTTAACCATCTTTGTGACTCTCCTTTGATGTTAGTGCTGATTCTTCATGGCTCCATCAAGTCGTAGAGCCCAGAACTAAGCAAATGCTCCAGCTGGAGTCCGACCAGTGTGGAGTATAATAGATGAGCTCCTTGCTCTAACAATACCATTACCTTGTCTCATTTTCAACGTGTTATTGCAAGCTAATGGTAGAACTTCTATTTTTTTTTAAAAATTAACTGAATTCAACCATTTTATTTTAGGGAACATGATAAAATGAATAGCCTTCAAAATGTCAACTTGTTTACTCTGTATGTAATACCTAAGTCTGAAATATTTTCAAATAGACATATTAATTCCTAAATCTTCTTATAGAACTAAAGTGATTATGGGTCCACTGGGGCAGCTAGATGGTGCAGTGGATAGAGTGCCAAACCTGGAAGTCAGGAAGACTCCTCTTCCTGAATTCAAATCTGGTCTCAGACACTTACTGGCTGTTTGAGCCTGGACAAGTCACTGGACTCGTTTGCCTCAGTTTCCTTATCTGCAAACCACCCTAGTATCTTT